TGGCCCGTCCCCCGCCCCCGCGCTTTTCATTCCATTTGCATATTTTCCATCTCGGAGTAACTACTTGCCAGTAACTTACTCAAATACAGACTTGGCCTCTCCATCGTCACCAGTGGCGGGGCGCGAATGGTCGATTGTCGATAATTCCTCGTTTGAAGCTGTGGTAAAGAATCGATTATGAAGGTGTTCGTTGCGGACACCCTGTTTATCGATCCTTTTCCATGGGTTTACACGAGAAACAATCGATATATCGTAAAGCACGCCACACCGCTGATCGTCACCCAGAGATGGTCTCGTAGTCCGAGGTCGCATTTGAATCGGCCCAAATTGAAACATGCCTAACATGCTCGAAAAATGGACGGCGTTAAGCAGAGAGGAACCAAGCCACATCAGCTATTGGCAAAGTTAATCGGGCAATTTAATGTTTTACGTGAAAACGGTTGGGCGGATGTGTGTACAAATTTGAGTGAATTTTCTGCACGGTACGAAGCGCATTCCTTAAAATTTTCAAAGGAATCCGCACAAACGTTCTCTTGTAAAAATTTAAATTTGGCAATAGCTGATGTGGCTTGGTTCCTTTCTGCCACACATGGCCCAAATGGTAGGGTGGTTTCACGTCCTATGTATCGGACTCCATGCGCATCTACCGAGTAAGAAAAAATAACCGACTTCTGTTTTTGTGGACAGTGGGGCACAAAGTATTAGTGGTTTTTTTTTTGGGGGGGGGGAGGGGGCACTTTTTCTTTGGGTTGAAAATTTGAAGCTTCGTTAAAAATCTGACGCGAGCCGCCGCGATCGAATCCAGATCACATCATTGGTGGATCCAGCAAATTGGCAACATTATTGTTTTTCTCCATTTAAACCTGTGGAAATGTATCGATTCTTAGAGGGGTTAGGTGTTCCGACAAGAATCGAGTATTTAACATAGGTTTAAATGAAGGAATTCCGGCGTTGCCAAATTGCTGGATCCGCCTCTGGATCACATTGATGATAGTCCGCTGACGCAATCTCTAAGTATCATTGAGAGGAACTAAATTACACAAGTACACAAGTACAAGTACACAAGCACACAAGTACACAAGCACACAAGCACACAAGTACACAAGTACACAAGCACACAAGCACACGACCACACGACCACACAAGCACACAAGCACACAAGCACCCCAGCACACGCAAAACACAAGCACACAAGTACACAAGCACACAAGCACACAAGCACACAAGTACACAAGTTCAGCAGGGCACTTTCTTCATCCTCAAATATCTTAGAATAACCATATATTATTTAACCAAGAAGGTCGATCAACCAAGTCCTTATGGTTATTTAAAATACATTTTAGCAGCAAAATAAGCAGGATTGTCATACTCGGTCATAACTCTCTTTAGCAACTTTCCTTTCATACAGTAAATGTTCCTTTTTTTCGTTCGGTTATTACGTAAACGTTTTTTCTCTTTCTCTGTAAAATTCGGCTTCTCGGGCGAGTTTAGCTTTTAACACCGACTAAATCAGGTTTTTATGTGTTCCTTTTCTTCATTGTATATTGATTTTTGCCTCTTGCTTTTGTTTCAGGTCCAGGCCGTCGGACAGCGTACACAAATATGTGCGGCGCTAAAAATTTCAAAACTTTCGGTGAATGATGTCTCCATAGTGCCATGAGGACTGCTAACTCGAAAGCCTTTTAAGGCCTTTTTAGGCCTTTTCAGGCATTTTAATGAGGTGACGCGCAATTCACACGTTTGCGCATAACGCGCGACACGTTAGCTTCTCCAGGAGCTGAACTCATTCCGAAGCAATGTTGCCTGTTTATTGTTTCACTCTTATCTTCACATTCCTCGTGATGACAGGTATGTTTGTGTCTTACAGTTAGTTTGAAATGTACTAATTCCGCAATCTTATCACTTGTCAATTGCCGAGCGACGCGGTGAAAATTTTCACGATTTGGCAACACTGTTTTCTCCATTTATATCCATATAAATAATGATCGATTCTGGGCCCAAAAGATGAGTGGTGATTTAAAATCTAGCAAGCCTCTTCAGGTGTTGCTAAAATTTTACATGGTGATCTTGACAATGTGGAAGAACCTAAACGATTTCACTGCATGCATTTTTTATTGGGGGACTCTCTCTAAATTATGGTTTTACTCCCACGACGTGAATTTCTATACTTAAAGCCAGTGGTTTCTCGTCGGGTAAGAAGAATAGCTGGAAAATTCCAGCAATACCTAATAGGGATTAGAACTGGGGAGAGAAAAGAATAGACAACTTACCAAAATTAGCACCAATTAACATGATTTTATGGGATAACCAATGGGCCAACAGATGACTGATGCATTCCGCGCGATTGATGCATCATTTTTGCCCATTCTTTTCTTTCCCTAGTTCTATCCTTTTTTGAATTTCCACTGTTTGATTTTAGTATATTAAAGTCGGGTTATTAGGATCCATACTTTTTTAAAGCATGTTAGCACCATAAACTGTTTCACCGCTTCAGAGCTTGCGTCATTTGCGGAATATTTATCGAATTTTCAGGCTGACATCAGACTGACTAGTCACAGCGCCACGAGAGGTAAAAATATTCTTTCTTCACACACGTATTCAAGGTCACTCTAGTTTCAGCCGGAAACAAAATCAAGTGAAAATGATCGTGAAAAACCCTCACTTGAACAGAATTTGTTATCCACTGAAAAAGTTACGGGTTATATAGACATACCTCCAGTACAGTGGCGTAACGGGCGCCCCCGCAGACCCTGCTATGCAGGGGGGCCCAAGCGCCTAGGGGGCCCTCGGCCCCCTAGGCGCTTTTTTTTCTCTTTCTTTGATGAAATTTTTTTTTCTCTCTCTCTTTGATGCTTAGCTTTGGTTTCAAATCTTGGGCCTTTACTTACCGAGATGGGGCCTCTTCCTCTGATTTTTATTTTTAGCTTAGGGTTTTTCATACTTCTTTTGGACTGTTCTTAACTTTTTTTTTTGCTGGAGGGCCCCTGCCTTCCAATGTCGACTCAGTGATTACTAAAAATTTTCTCTTTTATTGTCACTTTTCGTTTTTCGGGCTTTGGGCGGCCCATGAATCTAAAGGGCCCACAAGGCCCTTTGATTCTTGGGCCTGCATGGGCCCCTCTGTAGATCCTTGGGCCTGGGCTGAGCCCCCGCCACCCTTTAGATCCTTGATCCTTTAGGGGCCCCATTTAATCGGGTACGGGATCCGGGACGGTGTGGGGTGAGGCATTCCAAGTCCGTGATTTGAAATGTCTCGCGCCAAAAAACGGGAAGGGGTGAGGGAAGTAGAGGGGCGAGAGGGGGGATGATTTTGGAATTTTATCGACATGGGGGGACCTAGAAAAAATTTTGCAGGGGGGCCCAGCGGAAGTCCGTTACGCCACTGCTCCAGTACCGGGCTCAGAGGCCCGAAAGTTCCGGGTGCTGGAGCTGTAGCTTCGATTGCTCCGCTCCGGGTTCTACGCCTGGAACTCGGACGGTACGCATGTATATAGCCCGTAAGTACGGCTTCCAAGACAGGATTTTGTTTTTTCAGTGTATCTTTCTCAGGAACTCACACCGTAAAACGACCTCGCGATCTTGAAATTGGTCTGAGCTCACTCTTCCGAATCAAATATAAGGATTCCGGAGGACACTGGAAGAGGAGTTATCCCGAGTTGGACACCGCACACCCGACCGGCGGCGACGCGGCGGCGCGGGGCGGCGATCGGACGACGCTGAGCATAAAAAACGAAAACGAGAATGGGGTTTAATTCCGCTCTGACGGACAGGCAAACAAATATCCGAGCTGCATCTATCGCCCTGTCTGCATTAGAGACGTAAACATGCACTTACATCGCATGCTCAGCTTGTCGGATGACACGTTACAAAGCTGCCTCGCTCCCGCTCCCGAGCCGGAAATGCGCTATTGCAGGATTGCCCCGATTAATTGTGCGTACGTTCCCGAAAGTGGTCGAAAGTGCCGCCAGATCTAGTGAAGCATAACGCTTTCACTAATCAGATTAGGAAGAGCTAAGTTTGGCGGTTAATGATGCTTCAATAGCAATTCGCACGGTTTTTGCGTTTGGCCCAGATATTCCAGACCAAATTTTCATCAAAAACCAAAGTCTGTCATCGGTGTCAAACTCGCTCCTAATGTAAACAAACGAACGGCGACATAGTCCGGACATAAACAAAGCGGACCCAGAGCGGACTTCCTCGAGATGTTCCAGACTCAATTTCTCAGCGTTATCGTTTCTTCACCTCGACAAAAGAACTTTCGTCCGCGTCCAACATTTAAGTATCCCTTTCGTAAAATCAAATATCAGTTACCCCGTTGATCTGTTCATGGTGATTTCAAGTGAAATTGCGGCGAGATACTCCAGACTCCTAATGTAAACAAAGCGGCCTGTGCCTGGTCGAGATGTTCCGGACTCATTTCTTCATTTACGTTTCTTCATCTCGACCAAAGAAGTTCTCGCGCATTCAAAGTAACATTTTCTGGTTCCATTGTTAGAGGAGAAACAAGTCATTTTGTTGTAAGTTAGGATAATATTTGTGTTGATTAAGTGGCTTGAGCATTGGACTACCTGGCTGCGCCTTGCATAGCTGCCTCTATATCAAGATGATTGGGAGAAAAGCTTTCTGGTTGATGTGCAAATCTGAATCCTAAATCCCTAGGAACGGTAGTTGTGAAAACCAGACGGATGTACAATGCTAGGTACCTTGCTCCTCACTCACTTTCTCATGGATGTTCGCTGGTCTCTCCAAGGTTCTGGTTTTGCGATGCGTTGAAGCCAATGCTTTAAGTTTAGCTATAACAACCAGGCTTCGGAGATACTAATTAACAATCCTAGCAGTCACCAAATTCTCCAGCAAACCCGCATAGTTGTCTATTAACAGCTGAAGAAGCAATGGAAACCGTATTTACCTATGACAACAAGATTTTTTCCGTTGGAACTCTGATAGTAAGTATGAGGGGGAACTATCACCTTTAAGGCACGTTTCTCCATGAATTTTCTTGTTTTTTGGCATCAAACTAAGTAGAACTCAAGGAAAATGAGGCAAGACTTTACAAGTTACCATGTAAGGTTCATCTGCTGAAAAAATAGAATAAAGTCTAAAATTCCTAATGAACATCACCAAGATGGTTCTGCCACCAGCAGTTCATTTTTTAAGGCACGGATCAAATACTGTGGTTATCTATTATTCTCATGGTGCCCATCAAATTATAGGTAAGAAACCTAGTCCTGTATTAATAATGGCATGGAATGACGGGCTCTAATTGGTGACTTGACCATCCCCAATAAGTTATCGAAAGAATTTACTTCTTAAAAGATCCTTTGCGAATAAAGCCAAGTAAATATGCGGATAAAAGTCCCGTGTGATATGTGAAGTGTAATTATTCTAAGTAATTTCAAAGGGAAGGGATGAAATGTTCAAAAGGTAACGTCCAAATTTGCTAAGTTGTAGAGGCGCTAGGCACAAATTGGACAAGGTGCCGCTAAGTAATGATTAAATGAATTTTTTATTGTTATTAATTACGGAAAAGAGGAAAAGAGAATCAGGCCGATGCCGATTGCCAAAATCCAAAATTCGAAAAGTGTAGGGGCCGAAGTGGCCGAACCTTCTTTGAGATTACGGGCGGCGAGCGGCAACCTGATTGGCTACGAAGATTGCCGAGCATGGCCGAAGGCCTACTCGCCGCTTGGTAGGTGTTGACGGCGGTTTGACAAACAGCAGTTTTTGGTGAAATGTGGTCCGGAATATCTGGGCCAATCTGTTCACTCCAATTCGCACGGAGAAAATAACCTCGTGCGTGGGACCCGAAGTTTAGGTCATATGGATCTCTGAAGTTTTCAGATTGAGCATCTGAACACTTAAGGTCCAGCTGTCGAGGTTCGGATCACACATCTGAAACTTCAGTTCTTACATCTAAAGTACTTCGGTTTTCGCATAAGAAAAACTTCGGTTCTCACATCTGTAGTACTTCATATGTAAGAACTGAAGTATCAGATGTCTGACCTGAACTTCGGCAGCTAGACCTTAAGTGTTCAGATGCTCAATCCGAAAACCATATGAGATCCATATGACCTAAACTTTGAGTCCCACGCACGAAGTTTTTTCTCCGTGCGGAGACGTATATTTGGACGTATTTCTGCCAAACGGAGCTATGTGCATTATGACGTGAGCCCTGTTATGAATGTATTTTCGTGGGTCTCAGGGCTCATGTCTTAATGCATTTAGTTCCGTCTGACAGAAATACGTCCATTTCAGAGACCCTTCACTAACAAAGCAATGTAATCACTAATCGGGTAAGAAAAAGCTACGTTTGATGGTCAATGATACTTCAATAGCGATGGGTCAGTTGCGCGAGTCATAGAATCAAGTTTTGATGCCAGATTCTTGTAGATTAGCTATAAACAATGAGATCAATCCGAACAGCAACTTTCTACGTTCATTGTTAAACGAGGTATCACGCTTTGAAAAATTCGGTTTGTGGCGTCATCCCGCGCAGTAGTGACACCCCTGGTTTTTTCCACCTTGCTTTCATCCAAGTTTTAAATTGAGTAACTAGTACAAATGTGAACCTCAAAAACTGATGAGAGCAAGGTGGAGGTAACCAGAGGTATCACTACCACGGTGGATGACGTCATAAACCGAATTTTTCAAAACGCGATATCTCGGTTAATATTGAAATCAGTAAATTGCTGTTTAGACAAATCTAGCTAATCTAAGAGACTTCAGCATCAAACACGATTCCACGACTCGCGCAACTGACCCACTCGGTGTCGTACATTTCAGAAATACTCCACTAGCAAAGCAATTTAATTACTAATTAGGGAAGGAAAAGCTAAGTTTGGCGGTCA